TACGGTTGCGGCATCCAAGCATTGTAACAGTTCAAGAAAAACGAACAAAGGTAGTTAGTTAGTCACTCGATACGGTTGCGGCATCCAAGCATCGTAACAGTTCAAGAAAAACGAACAAAGGTAGATAGTTAGTCAGTCGTTACGGTTGCGGCTAGTTAGTCGTTACGGTTGCGGCATCCAAGTATCGTAACAGTTCAAAAAAAACGAACAAAGGTAGTTAGTTAGTCGTTACGGTTGCGGGATCCAAGCATCGTAACAGTTCAAGAAAAACGAACAAATGAAGATAGTTAGTCAGTCGTTACGGTTGCGGCTAGTTAGTCGTTACGGTTGCGGCATCCAAGTATCGTAACAGTTCAAGAAAAACGAACAAAGGTAGTTAGTTAGTCAGTCGTTACGGTTGCGGCATCCAAGTATCGTAACAGTTCAAGAAAAACGAACAAAGGTAGTTAGTTAGTCAGTCGTTACGGTTGCGGCTAGTTAGTCGTTACGGTTGCGGCATCCAAGTATCGTAACAGTTCAAGAAAAACGAACAAAGGTAGTTAGTTAGTCAGTCGTTACGGTTGCGGCATCCAAGCATCGTAACAGTTCAAGAAAAACGAACAAATGTAGATAGTTAGTCAGTCGTTACGGTTGCGGCTAGTTAGTCGTTACGGTTGCGGCATCCAAGCATCGTAACAGTTCAAGAAAAACGAACAAAGGTAGTTAGTTAGTCAGTCGTTACGGTTGCGGCATCCAAGCATCGTAACAGTTCAAGAAAAACGAACAAAGGTAGTTAGTTAGTCAGTCGTTACGGTTGCGGCATCCAAGCATCGTAACAGTTCAAGAAAAACGAACAAAGGTAGTTAGTTAGTCAGTCGTTAAGGTTGCGGCATCACAGCAGACGAGCTGCGCCTTTAATCGCTCAACCGCCAGTGATTCCAGTCACAAACTGAGAAGGGACTTCCGATACAGACATTAATAGGGAATGGATGACGGTTGAGAACTTGGCTTATGTTGACCGTTCTCGTCGCCGTTTTTCCTCCAGTTTCGATGTTGCAAGATTGTGGAAGTCTGGTTTGCAGCCGGAGCTATTGAGTTTAGTGCTTCTGGTTTCACTATGAGCTGTGATTATCGATTATTGACCGAGTTCCAGATTTGTACATAATGGCAAGGATGGGTGATGTATTTTTCTTCGTTGTGTTTCTGGGACAAGGCGTGTGCTATTAGCTGCTATTTATTTTCTGGCTGTGGTTGCAACTTGGCCTAGGACATGTGGAGAATGGTCAGAAATAATTTTAATCTACTCTCTATTCATCGTATGAAGTTGATTTTCAGTGATGACGCCAGGTCTCGCAGCGTGTTTAAGGAGGCATACACGTTATGGTTTGCCAGATCAAATCGTGTGTGTTTTGCTGACTGAGGACACTTCGTATGGTTACGGCATTCACTTGAAATTTCCAGCGTATCGGACTGAGTTTGCGACTGGAATCACTGGCATAGGTGGTTGAGCAATTATGGGCCAAGCTCGTTTGTTGTGATGCCGGAACCGTAACGACTAACTAACTATTAAACGAGAACGAGAACTGTGGGGGCAATGAAAGAAGATATGCGAGAGGACAGAGCAAGAATGGGTGACCGATGTGCTAGGATGTCGATACAGACAAGTAACAAGTGATTAACTTCACCGAGCATTCAAGTTAATCAAGTGACTTGCCGGCTGACTTGGACGATGATACCTCTCCACAATCTATGATCCGCAACTGCGTGTAAATGTTCGTGTGTGGACTCCATGCCATGACAAAAGGCTGTCAAGAATCTTTTCGCGCTGTGTTCCTCTATCTCTTCTCTCTCTCTCTCTCTCTCTCTCTCTCTCTCTCTCTCTCTCTCTCTCTCTCTCTCTCTCTCTCTCTCTCTCTCTCTCTCTCTCTCTCTCTCTCTCTTTTAAGATCTTTCCAGTGGTCGCAACAATATTCCAGTGCAGTTTTCCTTTTCTCATAAAATGACCAAAAAATTATCATTGTCTCTTTCTGATGTTTGTGATAAGTTGTCTTCGAACAGTCGCCTCTTTCAAAATAGCACATTTTTTTTGATTAGCTGTCTAAGGAATTGTAAGAGTTTTCTGTGAAAGCAGATCTCCAAGACCTCCAGATATTGTTCTGCTTGTGGATTAATTGTCTAGGATTCACAGCCATATGTTGACACTGGCTCCATTCAGCATGCGATCATTTTTGTCTAAACCTCAAATGACATGAATTTATTTCAGAAAATGTTCTTTGTTCATTTTATAAAAGGCAGTTTTGGGCTGTCCTATTCTGTTGTTTATCTCTGTGATACATCTTCCGTTGGGTGTTATCTACGTGCCTAGGTACTTGAATTTCTGTACTCATTATAAATAACGTCTCTGACTTTCATGAAACATTTAGGTAGTTTTCTTCTCCATTACTCTTATTCCATTACTTCCGTATACCTATTATTCAAACTGAGGCCCATTTGATCACTTTCTACCACCACCGTCACTATCAATTCCTGTAGTTCTTTGTGGCTTGTCGCTATCAAGACGGTGTCATCAGTATAACGCAGGTTGTTAGGATCACCAACCACACATTTTTGTGTGTGTGTGTGTGTTGCAGATTGTGGGCAGAGAGAAGAAACGTAAAAATAAGAAGGGGGAAAAATGTGGTTCGGAAAAAAAGGCAGCGCACAGTTAGACCACGTGCTCGAACGGCAAGCCGTATACTGAATCAATCAAATGAAATTATAATAATCCCATTCAACATCTGTTTTTTCTTCCTGAAAACAAAGCTGGCGTGCTTCACAGATATCAATACAGGAAAAATCAATAATATGTTCGAACAGACCATGTTTTAATAACTCCAGCTGACAAAGAAAAGAGTTCGCCTTCGCTACCTATCAGAATCTTCGAGGGTGGATGCACAATGGAAATCTAGATCTAACACATTCTATATTTCGAACGTTCCCGCCACAAAATGATACCATTGAGCCAGCCCATCTCTCGAATTAGTTCTCTGAACCTACGCTGTGCTGTTTATAAACCATCTGAACAAAAAGTTAAGACTATCTCACCGCCGCCTACCCAAGGGCCAAAGAGAGCCTTTTCCAAGCCATGGGTCGTTTATTACCTTCACGAACCATCGTAACTTACTGAATACTTCCGGCGAGTTCCGCTAACAATCTAATCCTACCAGCCTGTTACACTCTCATACAGGAATTCTATATCAGCATGCAGAGTGGCCAGAAACAAGAGGAATGGCTCCACGGTTATTTGTTCCCACTACCGAAGCCGAATAAAGACCACTCAAAGATCTGCGGCTGCAGAATCATCTCAATGCAGAATACTGTTGGCAAACTTTTGGAGAAAATTGTCGCACGGAGATTGACTACCTACTTGGAACTACTCAATACGTTCCCACCAACACCTGGAGGGTACAGGTTGAAAAAAGAGACATGGTTCAATGCTGCAGTTTTCGCCTACGATGTTTACGAGGAATTTCAGATTAAAGAGGGAGTCGCCTAGACGCTCGCCGCGAAAGACGATCGGAAGGTCGTGGGTTCGCTCCCTGACGGAGCCGGACTTTTTTCAAAAATGACCTTGGCTCCCAGCTCGACCCAGCCTTGAGTACCGGGTGCAGTCCCGGGAAAGTGAAGGCGGGCGGCGTGATAGTGACCATATCACCCATCTTGTGCCGATTGGTCTATAAAAATATATGTCTAGCCCTATATGCCCTATACATCTTAAGGCGTGGAAAAGGGTCCTTTACTTTACTTTACAGATTAAAGAAAAGACATGAGCGGCAGTGTTGGACTTAGAAGATGCCTACAATAAAGTTTCAAATGGATATTTAATGCAATTACTGCTTAAACTAGAAGTAAATCCTATTCTCATCCACTGGATTGCTCCGGTCCTGTTCCAGAGGAAGATAGTACTCAGATGTGGTAGCTGGTCCTCAGAACCGCAAACGATATGTCCAGGCTTGCCACAGGGATCACCGCTATCACCAGTCTTATTCAACGTGTATACCTTTATTATCACTGAGCAGCAGTTGAATGGAAAGGGAAGGACTTTGTCATTTGCTGATGACATTTTGTTTTATGGACAATGGCGTGATAGACAAGAGATCGCCTGCACAATGCACAAAGAACTCGATCGAATAGCCGCCTGGTGTAATGGGTCCAATGCCTATGTCAATCTTTCGAAGGCATCCGTGTCATGGTTCTCTTTGAACAATCACATTGTCAAGTCGGACTTACAAGAAGTGAAAATGCGTGATAATATATTGATCAGAACCAACAGATTGTTATAAGCTAAAAAAAGAAGCACATGGGCATTCACTGCACGCTCAGCGGGCAGAACAGTCAAAGAAGCCAACGGTGCCTTCTCCAAGACAACCAGCAATATGACGATGGAGGTGATGGCAGTGACGCAAGCGTTCGCCTTGCTCGAAACACAAAACTACACCCGTGTATGTATACTCAGTGATTCAATAAGTATGATCCAGGTTGTTCAGGCAGGTTCTGTGCGAAGTCGATGGCTCGAATCATTACCTAAGTCTACTATACGTGAAGTCCTCTTTGTTTTTGTTCCGGGACACACAGGCGTCGATGGAAATGAAAGAGCTGATAGGTTGGCGGGATCCGCTATCACTACCGACGGTCAACCTATGGATCATGCTGATATTATTAATGCCCTCAGAGAAATGGGAAGTATAGAGGACTTTGAGGGCTCTGAATTCACATCACTTGATGATCACTTGATGAATGTTGTAGTCATTACCACTCGGACTGCTTTCATTTCTCATATATTCTGGTGCCCTGTCAAGGAAGGCTGGGTGGACCATATATTCCATCCAACTAGAAGTTTCTTTTTTTAACCCTGACCTGGGAATTCGAACAAGAACACTGAACCAGCAGCAAGCGTACTAACCACTTCACCACCATTGTTATCGTTATCATGGAAGTCTTATGGCCACCATAACCACCAGCTTTATTTCTGTGTCTCACAGCAATTAGCCAGAGAATTTATGCAGAAACACCGCAGGGTCTCGTTGGCGACATTGATGAAGACGTTCAAGGAAGCCGATGATAAAGCTGAGGAAATATGTCCAGGTATGAGAACAGGATTTTTCTCAAACATTGATTAACTTTCTCACCTTCTTTTTCTTTCTCCACCACTTCATATTCAAACTTTTTTCCCCCTTCCTGCGCTTCCTGCGCTTCCCCCTTCTCTTCTGCTTCACAAAATGCAAAGGTCAATTTGTTGTCGCCTCTCCTTATCTGCAATTGTTTAATTGAAGAATTTACGTTAATGTTCGTCTAATTTGTGTACAGTGGGTGTGAGCTGTAGCACCTATTTCTTGCCAAAACCCAGGTTCGTGTAACCGCTAGAGGGGAAGTACGTTATAATGTTGGAATTAGCGTCAGACTTCTTCGTGTTTATGTTTGTGCACAGCTCGTATTTCCATTGTCTGTATGTGTGTGTGTGTATGTGTGTGTGTGTGTGAGAGAGACTATGTTTTTGCTTGTGTTGTAAACCCGGCCCTTAATGCTTAATGTTAAATACGTCAATTGTGTGTGTTCGCTCGCGAGTGTGTGTGTGTGTGCGTGAAAGTGTGAGAGAGAGAGAGCGAGAGAGAGAGAGAGAGAGAGAGAGAGAGAGAGAGAGAGAGAGAGAGAGAGAGAGAGAGAGAGAGAGAGAGAGACATACAGTTCAAATGCAGCAGTTACATACGAACGTTGTTGCCAACTAGTTACCACAAGGGCAGAGCTAACCAAGAGATTGTCTTCACTGAAGATCTTCAGTCCCGAGATACCTTGTGTTAGCGACATGCATACGTTGTGGGCAGACCCAGCAATGATAGCTTGTTTTGAGAAGCGCCACACATTTGAAAGTGATTACCTGGCTTCCAATACCGAGTAGTAAGTAGAAATGTCCCGGTCCTATTCAACTTCCAATGTGTAGTGACGTCACCTGTTATGTATCACATCTTATTTATTTATAATATGCTATACAGTAGTGTTCCTTGGTTTTTGTTGTTCCTATTGTTGTGACACACAAAGAAGAGGCAAAATAAAAGAAAATCCCGGTGACTCAGATCGCGCTTAAAGCATACAACAAGGCGAGAGGCCTGTTGGCAGAAGCAGTTTTGTTATTCGCCGAACACCATATCACCGTGTCTCGAGGAAGCAGACCTAGCGGAAAGCCTGCCGGCCAGAAGAGACAACCCACTAACCGATCCACCCGATTGGGCTTAGCTTTTAAACAGACGGAAGTAGCTACCGCAAAATCAAAGAAGGACGACGCCTCGGCCACTGGTGAGGCCCTGAGTGACGTTCCAGCGTCACCCGAACCAGCACGGCCTACACCAGAAACGGCACCAGAGAGGCAGAAAACCAGCAACCACGAATTTACTGCCACCATATTTCACCGACAGACAGGCTTGGGCCGAACAGCAGTTACCACACTAGCAACATTGACGTTGATCGACATGCTGGAGATCATGCTGGGCTGAAGTGCTGTCTCGAAAATCAGAAGAACTCGAGAGGGCGTGATAGATACTCTCAGTAGAACCAACAGTACCTCAGGCATCCTAGATGACATCAAACAGAACTGCAAGAAAGAATTCCGACTATGCGATGAAATGACCGTGACTGTTACAACTTTCCAGAATGTTAGACTATTGGTGGTTCGGAGAGTCAGCCTGCAATGGACCAATGAAGAAATAATGGAACACCTCAGGACAGACAACCCTAATACAAGAATCAACAAAGCGGAGAGACTCGGCTCAAAACGACATCCATTGCCAGTAGCAGTGATAACATCAGAGGGTGAAGACATCTCGGACAAAGTCTACCTAAATCAGAGGATGCAGAGACTAGAACAATAGGTGCAGTCCCCTGGCAAAGCTGGACAAAGACTTCAGACCTCCAAATCCTAGCAGAAAGTGCGCAGACTGCTCCAGCCAGCACAGCGCCAGGTACCTGGGGTGCCACTATCTCCAGCATAACAACCACGGCTAACCGAGAGAATATCCTAAATCACGAGGTCCACATGAGACAACCAAAGGCGTAACGACAGCTATAACCACCAAACTGGACAACGAGATCGCTCGCCTTAAAAGTGAGATCCAGGCTCTCAGAGACGAGAAAGCAGCCTCCAAATCCTAAAGAGTTGAAGAAAGGGATGAAGTAACAAGTCTGAGCACCACAGATCTGCGAGAGACCTACCGGCTGCCCACTAAAGAAGTCACAATGATCAAGAAAGCCTTTGCTAAAACAGAGGAAAATTTGCGGAATGCATACTAAGAAAACGTCCGACTAAGCAAGAAGCTACAAGCAATCAACAGAGTTATGGAGGAAAGAGAGAAAGGACGGAAAGAAGCAGCAAGGAGACGGCAAATATAATCACTCAAATCTCAGGGAACCGAGAACCAGAAAAAAGTCATGTCAAGTTACAGACAAAAAAGTGTCGACGCCTATGACGTGGCTTTTACGGACGAAACAACTTTGCAAACGACTCAACGCATCAGGGAGCTGGAGGATCTGAGCTACTTTAACCAAGACTTGCCAGAAGACGACCAACCATGGTCCTCACCAGAAGAACCAAACCCGCCCAAAATCGACTTGACGGCGGAACCGTCCATCCAACGCATCACAAGGCCAGTCAGTTACGAATACAGCCAAACGAAAGGAAGCCACAATAATTCACATTTCGGAACTATTCAAATTCAAAAACTGTTTTCAGTACTTTTTTGGCAAAATAAAATACTCAAAATTTTAAAACTTGAATGGTGGTCCAAGGGACGTTGTGTGGAAAAGCCAGATGAGACACCAGATAAGAAAAGGAAAGAAACGAACAGATAACAACGGTGCAGGACGAGCGGTCGGAACCGGATGGAAGCATCAAGCCCAGAAATGGCGCATTACTAGAATTAATCACGAAAGTGACACAAATAACCCAGACTACAAATATAGGCGGAGACTGTTAGCAGCCTCGGCTAGCTAGCAGCAGTCTGAAAGTGGTCGACATTTTTATTTTTGTCTCAAAAGGACTTGGACAGCCACAACAAACATTAAGCGACAGAACACTGAAAGCACAATCCAAAACCAGATGAGATAAGGACCAGAAACGTCACCACAAATATAGCGAACAGGACAGAGAGCAGCACAAGTTCTCTTACCCTAGCTGAAAGTGGTCAACGTTAAATGAAGAAGAACTGTGCAGATGAAATTGTGGCAGTTAGTTAGTCGACAGATTATCCTCATTGCATATCGAACCATTCAGTCCATAAGTACTCGGATCCCTTCCCCAGTAAATCCCGCAGCGTGTAGCGACTGAAGACACCAGTGTGTTGCTTTCTTATTTTTATTTTTTTTTTTTTTGTGTGTTCTTATTTTGTTGTTTGGCTCTTGTCTTGTTACACGTCTTTTAACATGTTCTTGGTCGCAGATTCAGTCATCCACTGGTTTTCTCGAACGTCTTATTTCTCTTCGAGCATTTGGTATATCATCTTGGTTAAATGCACATCCGCCGGCCACAGCCGCTTTACCTGCAAGTCTACCAGCTTGCTCGTTTCCTTGCACACATGTGTGCCCTGGTCTGTGTCTCAGACATGTTATTTCTTTTGGTCACTGCTATGACCTTTATAGTCAGCCTACTCGTGGTCATGGCGAAAGCACTGGAATCTTGCTTCACAAATTCTTACTTCAACCTGAGCCATAAACCCCCCAACCCATCTGCGTAAATGACATCGTCCCCCTCTAGAAAATTCTCGAAAATCAAGGCCTGTACTTCTGGATCCACAGCGGCCTGACTTTTTTGTTTGCATTTCTGTCTAGTCTGATGCAAACGGAAGAGGTTGTACAGGACTCCGGTGGTCTTCCCCGCCAGGTTCAATGTCCTCAAGTGAACACACCTGCTAAACAATGTCCTCACCCATTCCTGATTTTTTTAATTTGCTGCTTTTTTTTTTTCCTTCTTAATTTCACTATACAGCGGGTGTCGTGTCTGCGTTGGCTCTGAGGCAGCCACGTGCTCGGCTAATTTAGATTCTGTTCTATGAGGTTGGAGAATCAAGAAGGTAGCCCATGGCCCTGCATCTTCTGTACACCTTATTATAATACACATAGTGGCGCGGTGATTTCGGTCACAGGCATGAGGGGAAGTTAAGTCTGATGTGATGTGTATAAGGAGATATTCCGTACCCCACTCGGGCGCCAGTCCTTCACTGTTCTGGTTTTACGGAACCTCATGCAAGACTCCTGTTGCACGTCCCCGTCGTGCGCCACGGATAATATCTCAAATGAGCATTAACAGAGTTGGCAGGGGATCTCGGAGCTGGCGGCCCCTAGAGGTGTAGAGTCCTTTCTGGCTCTCACCAGCCCGCCCCCAAACGCATGGGTGAAAAGTAACAAAACTCAAGGACTGCTTGCTAAATGTACCATCAAATGACAACTGTTGGTTAAAATTCGGGAGCGAATGGAAAACTGTGCTGCTGAGACTCAACCCTGACCGAGAGATTTACCCGCAGCCAAGACGAGTAACATCTCTTGTGGGCGACTTCTCGCAGCAAGATCCCACCTACGTACATCCTCTGTCAATCCTCAGTGTCGTCGTCACCGCGCTGAGGTACACCATGGCAGCAACTATTCAAATGCTGGCTTGAAAACAATGTCCGACAAAGTTACACCCTACGGCACACATGCAAGCTCAAAGTCCGACGATCATAACTCGTACCGATTAGGAAAAGTCTGAATGTCCGTATCCACTGGTCCAACTCGCCCGAGTGTTGGGACCAAACAGGTGAAGCCACGCCTGACGCATTTTGCTTCCCCATTCTGTCGTGCTAAGGGCACAGCTGAAACAACGTTAAAGGTGTCTAACGTAAGATGAAAAAGAATGTACCTATTTGTGTGGCCACAAACGTCCTAGACCTGAGGGCTGCTCCCCGCTGATCTCCGGAGAGCGCAGCCTTGTAGCGCGGGAAGCTCAATACACGGTTGTGAGGTTAAGCAGTCATGGGCAGGACGTGACGATTCCTTGGGTGAGCCCAGAACCAGAGCATCATGTGTCGGCTCTGCATTTATGGAAGCCTCCTTGGATGGCGGGGAATGCCCATGATCTGCCCCCTGCCTTCCCTTGAGGGCTGAAAACTCTACATAGAGCTGCCTTAAGGACGACATGCCTGGGGCCACACCTGTTAAAAGTCAAAGAGGACACCACACAAATAAGGCAACATCTCGACCCACACAAAACAATGGCCACAGTCAACCTAGAAATAGGCTTGACGTCTTCCTCCGAAGTCGGAGTACATCTGCCGGAGAGGCGGGGAACGAGTACTGCAAACAAATAAGCCAGTAAAACGGATGTACACGCAAAACTCAGGTCAAGGTAAAAGCCAAAAGTCCATTTTGGACGAACAACCGTGACTTACCGCCGGAATTCACAGCCGGTGAACAAGAAGAAGAAGATAATACACATAGGCTCGTTCTTTATCCTTTCTATTCTCTCTAGCTGCTAATAGCTGCGAGTCAACGCCATCGAATGTTAAAAAACAAACAGAAAGCACCAGACTTTGGAATAGAGACCAAAATGACGCCACTCACAGTTTGCTTCTGCCATTATTCTTAACGCAGCCAAACCCCTCTTAGCTTTTATCACCTGGTCTATGTGCTCAGTAAAAGTCGGGCTTCGATCAAAATGTATCCCAGTGTATTTTATTGCACGTGTTCTTTTCACATTCTTTTAGCATAGATTTACAGATAGTGTTGAAGTGTTGACAATATATTTAAAGATGACCACGTAACTGCTGCTTGGGTTGGATTGGCGCATGCACCATCCTCCACAATACCAGTTGCTCATGTTGTTGAGTTCTATCTATAGTTCTCCTGCAACCTGCTCTCTGTCTGCTCTAAAATACACTAACACATCGTCTTCGTACAACAGCATCTTCCCAATGTCCTGATATCAGTGATCCATGTAGCAGGCCGGGATATATAGTTCTAGGTACAGAACCCAGCCATCTCCAGAGAAGGCGGTGGTTCAGAAGCCCAACTGTCACATCTAAAAACATCTTCTCGTTGGAAGAGGGCTGCAGAGATCCAACTGAGAAGGAATTTACTATTTAGTTCATAAAGCTGAAACACTGAGAAGTCCAAAGGTTCTCTGTTCTCTGTGCAGAGAGTGGCCAGCGGGTGCTACGGGGGTTGAAGTCCAACAGTTGATTCAAGACAATTCACGCCCAGGTGATCTGATTGTCTATACAGATGGTTCAGTGTTGAGAGGAAAGAAGTGATTAGGGGTTCGTAGCGAAAGCCAATGGAAAATCTTTAGTGCAAGGCAGCTTAGCATATGACACAACAACATCTAGCATGAGAATGGAGGTGGAGGCGAACTGCAGCTCTCCGGTGGCTAGAGAAAAGGATGCAAAAACATGTCGTAATTGTAACAGACTCTGAAAGCAGGCTGAAAAAGGTAAAGACAGGGATGCTTCGAGCAGAGTGGCAAGCTTCACTGGAATGGTCACAAGTATGAGCATACTTTAGATCTTTTTAGGGTATGCCGGCGTGGTGGGTAATGAACATGCAGACAGATGGCTGGATTCTCACCACTGGGTGGTGAATTGATACATGACGAGGCAGATGTGGTCAAGGCCCTTTGGGAATAAGCAACGGAATCAATAGAGAAGGCAGTTTATTAAGGCCTGGAGATAATGAGGCACCTTGGTGTAATCAGAGGGTCTCGCCGGCTCACTACACTCAGAGGAAAGCCAAGACGGACTTTTAACCAGATTGTGACTGGTACTCTCAGTATTGGAACTCTGCTTTGGCTGCTGGAGATAAGGACGGAGCATGAATGGGAATGTCCTGAGTGCTGTAGTGTCAATTTTTGACTCAACTCAACTCAACAGTTGTGGTGGTGTCGGTGGTGGTAGTGGTGACTGTGGTGTTGATGATGCTTGATGTTGGGGATTCTCGTGATGCTACTAGTATTATGCAGTAATGACAATGATGCTTGCAGTGATGACAATGATGCTTGCAGTAATGACAATGATGCTTGCAGTAATGACAATGATGCTTGCAGTAATGACAATGATGCTTGATGTTGGAGATTCTCGTGATGCTACTAGTATTATGCAGTAATGACAACGATGCTTGCAGTAATGACAACGATGCTTGCAGTAATGACAATGATGCTTGCAGTAATGACAACGATGCTTGATGTTGGGGAATCTCACGATGCTACTAGTATTATGCAGTAATGATAATGATGCTTGCAGTAATGACAATGATGATTGCAGTAATGACAATGATGATTGCAGTAATGACAACGATGCTTGCAGTAATGACAATAATGCTTGCAGTAATGACAATGATGCTTGCAGTAATGACAATGATGCTTGCAGTAATGACAACGATGCTTGAAGTAATGACAATGATGCTTGCAGTAATGACAATGATGCTTGCAGTAATGACAATGATGCTTGCAGTAATGACAATGATACTTGCAGTAATGACAATGATGCTTGCAGTAATGACAATGATGCTTGCAGTAATGACAACGATGATTGCAGTAATGACAACGATGCTTGCAGTAATGACAATGATGCTTGCAGTAATGACAACGATGCTTGCAGTAATGACAATGATGCTTGATGTTGGGGAATCTCACGATGCTACTAGTATTATGCAGTAATGACAATGATGCTTGCAGTAATGACAATGATGATTGCAGTAATGACAATGATGATTGCAGTAATGACAATGATGCTTGCAGTAATGACAATGATGCTTGATGTTGGGGATTCTCGTGATGCTACTAGTATTATGCAGTAATGACAATGAATCTTGCAGTAATGACAATGATGATTGCAGTAATGACAATGATGATTGCAGTAATGACAACGATGCTTGCAGTAATGACAATGATGCTTGATGTTGGGGATTCTGGCGATGCTACTAGCATTATACAGTAATGACAATGATGCTTGCAGTAATGACAATGATGCTTGCAGTAATGACAATGATGCTTGCAGTAATGACAATGATGATTGCAGTAATGACAATGATGATTGCAGTAATGACAACGATGCTTGCAGTAGTGACAACGATGCTTGCAGTAATGACAACTATGATTGCAGTAATGACAACGATGCTTGCAGTAATGACAACGATGCTTGCAGTAATGACAACGATGCTTGCAGTAATGACAACGATGCTTGCAGTAATGACAATGATGATTGCAGTAATGATAGTGTTGCTGTGGCAGTTCAAATTTAAATTCTTTTGTAAATATTAGGTGACAAAAATGTTCTCAGTTAATCTTTGGGAATAAATGTGACTCGTTTGTGTCGTCTGTAATCCTTGCAAAGCTTTCTGCTACACATCGGCCGCATCTGTAGCCAGGACTTCTTGCCTTCTGTACAAGACATTCTTCACATCCGGTGGCCAACACTAGGAGTCCAAGAACATCAGTTCCACGTCGGAAACTTTCTATACAGGTATGCGTCTCTGTTTGTCTCTTGATTATCTCCAACATGCACTGTCGATGCTTATGAACACTGCTTTGTGAAAACATAAATTATCAGCATGGGTGTATATGTTGGTGTATATGCATGTAAATGTGTGTATGTATATAAATGTGTGTATGTATATAAACGTGTGTATCTTATGTGTGTGTGTCTGTTCACATGTCTGTGTGTATGAGACAGAGAGTGTGTATGTTGTGTGTGTGTGTGTGTGTGTGTCTGTTCACATGTCTGTGCGTATGTGTGTGTGTATGAGACAGAGAGTGTGTGTGTTGAAGACACATATCGAGAAGCACCAGCGATGATTCGTGTTATCAATAATCAAAATTCGTGTATTTGTTGCAAATAGGCGAAAAGAGGCCAGTAGAAGGTTAAGACCAGTGTAGGGACATTTAATGTATGTGGATGGGGCAGTAAAGAAGAACAAGTGGTAGAATTATTGGAGAAATATAATGTTAAAGTATTAGACTTATCAGAAATGAGAATGAGAGGACGAGAAGTAGAGAAACTACATAAAAATTACGTTTTGATTCAATCGAGAGTAGAGGAAATACAGCGTTTAAAGCATGGAGTAGGATTTATCATCGATCCCGAAACTACCAAACATATACTCGAGGTTGAGTACATCTCGGACAGAATTATAAGCTTGAAATAACAAGTAGGAAATAGTTCGGAGTTTTTTTTTTTTTTTAAATTTAAATATATGCTCCGTGCAATAGAAACTACAGTAAGGAGGATTTAGATCAATTCTTTGAGGACCAGGATGACGAAATTTGTAAAATAGATAGTAATGAGAAGCTGATCATGTTGGGTGATTTTAATAGTAAGACCGGACGAGACAGAAGAACATTTACAAGATACTTAGGTAATTACGGAGACAACAGCATTGGAAATGAAAGTGGCGAAAGACTGCTGGATATATGTGCACAACATGACCTTCTTTCAACACAGATCTTCACAAGTTTTTACATGGCATAAATCAGACTGATTACATCTTGACGAGAAAAAGAGACTTTCATAAAGTTACAGATTCAAGAGTTATACCAAACTTGAGTTTAGATCCAGATCATAGGATAGTGGTACTTGACAGAAAAGTCAAGATAAGTTATCAAGCAAGAAAGAAATGTCATAAAAGTGACATCATAAAATGGAAATAACTAGAGTGTGAGGATAAATTGGCGAGCATTTCAGCAAAAATTACAGAAAAATTATGAACACCTTCCACAAAACAGACTTGGGGTAGATTCAGAATGGGTGAATTTCAGAGACACCACTATGAAAAATGCACGAGAAATATGTGGAACTATAAGGAAAGGTAACATAGGGCGTAAGCTCTCAACATGGTGGTCTGAAGAAATAGGAAGAATTGTGAACAATAAAAAGAAAGTCTATAGCATTTGGCTGAGCAGCAGAACAGAAGAGCACTGCTTAACATACAGGATCATTAGAAGGGAAGTAAATAGAACTATCAGACAAGCGAAATGAGATTCATGGGAACAGTTTGGAAGCAAGCTGGCTAAAGAAGAAAGAACAGCAGTGAAAAATTACTACCGAAAAAAAAAAGAAACAGGAATAAAGAATACAACCCAACTGAAATTATAAATGAAAAAGATGGCCAATATTTAATAGAACCTAACAAATTTTTTGCAAGGTGTAGTAATTACTTTGAAACATTACTTAGCTGCAATGAAATAGATTAAAGCAGGGAAGAACCAAAAAAAAAAAAAAACCACCTTAGAACTAACGGCAGAAGAACTAGAGCCAGGTATATTATTAGATGAAGTAGAATATGTCATTCGAACCGCCCCTAGACTAAAGGCGACAGGTGTTGATGATCTACCAGCTGTGGCCTTCAAGGCAGCAGGAGAAGCGAGAGCAGTATAGTTAAAGAGAATATTTCAGGTAGCATGGGAAAATCAAGAAACACCATCAGATTGGCAAAATGCTGTCATCGTCCCTCTATGCAAAAATAAAGGAATTAAGAGGGACTGTACTAATTACAGAGAAATATCACTTCTCAGTCACACAGGGAAAATGTATGCTAAAATCATCGAAAAAAAAAAAGGCAAAGACTATTAATAGAGTATCAACTTTGAGAAGCACAATAGGCTTTCAGCGAAACAGAAGTTGCACGGATGCCATTGATACATTGAGACAACTATCAGAGAGAGCAATAGAACACGATAAGACTGTTGACATTCATAGACCAAGAAAAAGCCTTTGATAGAGTCGACAGGAATATGTTGTGGGAATGTATGGGGGAAAAAGGAAGCAACCATCTCATTAATATTTGCAAATGCTGCACAAGATCGAAGGCAGGGTTGTCAAGTACTTGTATAGTGAACTCTGGTGTGCGTCATGGCTGTGTACTATAGCCGCTTCTTTTTAATAACATACATAGATACCATTTGTAAGGAAACTAGCTTTAATCAAAAAGAAGATATTACAGAACTACTGTTTGCCGACAACCAGGTACGCATTGAAAAAAAAGTACGGAATGCCTATAGGACAACCTAAATCAAATTAGTAACAAAGGAGAGGAATATAATATACAAATAAACACTACGAAGATAGAGACAATTGTGATAGGAAGACGGAAAGGCAATTTAGAATTAAAATTAAAAAAACAACACCTTAAAACAAACAGAGGAATTTAAGTATTTGGGAGCAATGTTCACATCCGACGGAAAACTGGACAGAGAAATTAACTCGAGATGTGCCAAAGCTAATCAAGTAATGGGGCAACTGTCTCCCCCTATTGACACACAAGCCAAATATAGACACTTACATACTCCAATGAAGGTAAAATTGTGACAACAGAGATGAAATCCCTTAGAAGAGCTGTAGGAGTTTTAAGGAAAGACAGAATACGAAATCACGAAATCAGACGAATGCTAGGGAATAAAGCCAGTCTTACAGGTCATCAAAGAACAACCAGTGAAGTGGTTTGGACGCCTAACATAAATGCTCTTGTACTATCTGCCACAGCGAGCCACACTTAAACGTTACAACGGCTATAGAGTGAGCGGAAGACAACGGAAAATATGGTGTGATGGCATTAAGAACAGTCTTAAAGAAATGAAAGTTCAATTCTAACCAGTAAGGTTCTGCCACTGGCCCAGCCTCATAAACATGGATAGCTGGCAAGTTTTCAGAATGTTCTGAGATTTGTCTTGGAAGGACAGGTGACAAGAAGGGGGACGGTACCCCCCCCCCCCCCCCTCTTCCCCTGTCATGAAACGAGGACTAATACTTCCAACTTCCAGCGGCAACTCTCTCTCAAACATTCTATACTGATATACACGAGAAGACTGATTTGTATGCCATATGTTTTCGTAATGGGAAAGGTCGCAAGATTTTGAGTACCCCCATCTATTGACTCCTCGAGACGATTTATGCGAGCCTCGGTTGTCCACTTTAAGAAGAAATATATTTTTTTCTCCTAATTTCGTGTACTGTCTCGTCCAACATCTAAATAGTGTTTCAAACTGACTAAATGACTGGGGTAAACATGCTCAGTTGCGGGTAGGGAAGCTAGATTTGTACATGCACTGAGACCGGAGACTCACATTTTCTGTCAGGTGATGTTAGAACTAATAGAAGTGGCGTGTAAGGAAACACCAGACGAATTGTTATACTGAAGACATCACATGACACATAGCTATTCTACACAAATGGCAAGACATATCACACAGTGGAAGATTGTAATCACCAGACGTACAGCATGGCAGACATGGGAAAAGGACAAACCTAACCTATATACACTTTTTTTTTCTCTGTAGGATGATAGATGTTGCAGGCCAGAGAAGTTTACGTAAGAAGTGGATACATTTTTTCACCGAAGTTACGGCTGTATCTTTCTTTGTCTCTCTGACGGCGGTTGATGAGGTTTTGGAAGAAGATCCTACAATGGTAAGTATTATTTACATAATTTCTCTAAATACTGACACTGTTCACTAGCGAAGTGTTTTACGTGAAAATGCTATTATTTAACGACTCTTTTCAACAAGCTTTGATTTAGGCTTCGTATTTAAATGAGGGAGAGAAGAGGGAGAGATAGACGGACAGGCAGACAGAGTGGACAGCATGAGATCCAGAGTGAATGGCAAATCTACCAGTGCAAATTATTGCCCCACTTTTGCGGGGTGGGCGGTGTGAAAAGGGGGAATTCATTGCAGCAAGAGAATGACAAGTATATTGTTTTGTTACTTTTGCCTAAATGACATTGAATACATCAGTGTCTACATCCCGTTATGGACGGACGACGGCTTGTGGAGCTCACATCATGGAATAAAGCCCAAGGAAATGAGCCATGTAAAGGACACTTCCCCAGGCCTTCAGGCGTACTGGGTATATAGACCTATATTTTATAGACGAAACGACACTTGGTAGGTGATGTGGTCAGCATCAGGCAGGCCGCCTTTATTTCTCAGGACTGTACCTGGTAGCCACTTAAGACTAGGAGCAAAGGTACTTTTTGAAAGAAATTCCGCCCGCGTCAGGACCCGAGCCCACGACTTTCCGATCTGGAGGCAAGCGTCTAGCTGCTAGAGCACGGCGGCTCCCTGAGCCAATCGGCCAGATGTATCATCCGTCGTGGTTGCGCTGTGTTTATTATTGCAGATCCTCAATATAATTTATCATCTGGCTCCCACTATTCCTTTATTTCTTTAGTCGGAGCATATTTTAAAAGTAATTTTACGCAGACAACTGTAGCTGATAATGCATAATTCTTCCTCTTCTTTTTTAGCATTCCTAGCCCTTAAGGTTCATTGCTGCAGATATTACCAGCCTCCATTCATCTCTCTGGCTGGCCTTCTCTTTCCAGGTAGTGACACCAAGTGTTTGCAGGTCTGGATGTTATCTCTCCATCGTCTTCATGGTCTCCTTCGTGGTTTACGACCATTCATATCCCTTGTGTATACAGTTTTTACTTCTATGTCATCTGACATTTTTTCAATATGCCCCAACCATTTCAGTCTATTATCTCTCATGATGCCAGTGATCAGTGGCGATTTAAATGATTATGAATTTCGTTGTGCTTCCCACTCTCCATTCACCTCCGTTTGCATCTTTGATGGGTCCAAAGATTCGTCGTAAATATGTTTTCAAAAACCTGTAATAAGGCTTTATCTCTTTTAGTTGTGCTCCAAGTTTCAGAGCCATATCAAACCACTGGTCTTTTCAACGTTTCATATATTTCGATCTTGGTGTTAGGAGACAGACACATTGACTTTAGCAGATGTTCAAGAGCATAGTATACTTTATTTCCTGATTGTATTCTAGATTGTGCGTGAAGGGAATAGAAAATTTAATATTGTCTGTCCAAAAGCACAGTCAAGATCAAAATCTGTTCTTGAATTTAAAGAAAACGAAATTAATGTCCACAGATAAAACTGGCTGTCACCCAAAAAATGATGAAGAAATTGAAAATGTTACAAACTTTGAATATCTAGGCTCTATAATAAACAGCAATGGAGACTGATAGAAATTAAAAGAAGGATGGCCATAGCAATGCAAATATTGAACAGCTTTAAAAGTCTATGGTTAAGCACCAGAAAGGAAATAAAAATTAGAAATTTGAGAGCATGCATCTTCCCTGTGGCTACATACGGATGTGAGTCGTGAACTATCTCTCAGTTCTTAAGAAAGAGAATATGGGCTTTTGAGCTGAAATGCTATAGAAAGATTCTTAGAATATCTTGGACAAAGAAGAGGAGAAATATTGACATCTGAAAAGATCTGAACATCAAGGAAGATTGGCTATTAAACAGCATCCTTTCTCGGAAGTTGAAATATTTTGGTCATATCAAGCGCCACGACGGACTGAAAAAAATTATTGCAGAAGGCATGGGACCAGGAAGGAGGGGCAGGGGCACAAAGATGGCACAGGATATAAGTGACTCCTTGAGTATGAAAGTACATGAGGCGGGAGAACTGGCGAGAGACCGAGTTTCTTTCAGGCAGACTGGGATGAGAGCGACGTTCTGCAAAGGACCTGCTACATAATGATGATTCTGGATTGTATTTCTTCTCTCAGCATGTTGGAGCAGTTAAAGTTTGCACGCAAGTACTTTTACGTTTCCGTTCGTTTAATTTTCATATTCTCGACTTGTATGTGGTCGGAGTTTATATCCTTTCCCTGTCTAGAGGACGCTGTAATCAAGCCAGTTCTGTTTGATGTTCAAGTCATGCAGAAAGTCAGTGTTTTTCGTTTCTTGGTCCACAGTATTCTACGAATCTTTGTGTTGTGATTTAGTCAGCCTTACATAATTTCAGAATTTGTTTAACATATTTAACATTGTAATAATATATATTTTACTATTTGTCAACCTGAATGTGTTGTTATTATGGCGTTAGGCAGAACTATGCGACATTCAGCAGAACGCCAGCAGCTGAGAGGGAGTCATCAATTGAACAAACAACTCTGAATGAGCACGGCTTTATTGATTACTGTTACTCTCACACACAGAGTGAAAGTCAGCATGCTCTAACAGTGACAGTGTATATGTGAATATGTCTCTGAACAGATGAACTGATATGTTTCTGACAGAACAGTTTACAAGACAGTCTGCAAGCTTTCAATGAAGTCAGCCACAACCAGTTTCTGGAGAAGACTGACTTCATTCTGTTCCTCAACAAGAAAGACTTATTTGCCAACAAGCTGAAGTCCACTTCATTATCTGTTTGTTTCCCTGAGTATCAAGGTCAGTGCCTAGAATAGTTGTCAGGAATGCTCCTTAACGTTTTGCTTATATCTTCAGGTTTACCTATGGTCTCTTTATCAGCGATGTACTTTTCTTTTCGTATCATGTTTTACAAATTGTAAACTTCTCAAGTTCCATGTTTTAGTTTTGTTATTCTCGGATATTATGTTTTCATTTGTATTTTCCCAAGTTCGACGTTTTAGTCTGTTATTCTCAAATTTCATGTTTCCAATCGTAAACTTCACAAGTTCCATATTTTAGTCTGTTATTCTCGGAGACAGTGGTACCTTGGTGTATGTCATAAATCCGTTCCTGATCCTTGGACTTATACCGAACATTTCTCCATAAGAAATAGAGGGACAATGATTAATCCCTTCCCATGATGAAAAAATCGTAATATTATTGGCACATTATACACTGACTGGGTTGTATAAAATAATTTATATTTTGCCTAATACTGAAAAAAAAAAACAACAATAGGATGAAAAAAATGTAACTCACTTGACCTTCCTGAGAAGAGTTGTGTGCCGACTAGGATGGTACTGAGATAGAAGGAGGAGAAGGGATGTTATTGTTTGCAATGAGAGTCCCCTTTCATTAAAACTTTATAAATATGAAATTATGAGGTTTTTTTCTCTTAATTTTTGTGTGCGTTTGTCCTGTTCACAACTTGGTCCTGGTTGAGGCTAACGGGTAGTCACTAAACACAGCCCAAAAACCTTCTACATTGCATTTCCTTCGCAGGATGCTTTGGTAACTGAACATTGTTCAATCCAGACATGCTGTTAGGCTTGTTTGGAGCTTTCTTGGGGTATAGTTCTCTGCACAAATCATTGACATCTATCCATGAACTGCTCGAGAGGAGAGGTAACAAGAATAGCCTACAGTGTCATGATTAGTTCTGCTCCCTTCTTACTTTGGGTTTGTTCCGAATTTTGGGGCATATCCATTTTTCAGATCTGGGTTTTTTTTTGCAGATTTTGGTTTTTGCTTCCCGGGAGATGCTTTTCAAAAAACAGCCCAATTAGTTAAATTTTAAATTGCTTCTGAAGGGGAGGGGTCTATTCCCTTTCCCCCCCCCCCCACTAACAGACCTCAAACCACTTGGGGGCACCAATGTTCTAAATTTTGCAAGAAATTTTAAAAAATTGATCGTGTTATGGTTGGTATTTTGTAAACGGGTGTCGATCATGTATCTCACTGTAGTTTGTATTAACGGGGTTTCAAAATTTGTATCTCCGTATTTTTTCATTAACGGGGATCAATTAGTATCCAATTTTATTTTTCTTAAATAGTCAAATTCGGGATCCAAAGTTTTTTGTCAAACGGGGATTTAAAATTTTTACTCACTGATTTTTGTCTTTTGGTTAATTGTTTATGATTTTC